GCTTATTTTTATTCCGATCCTATCATAAACTCATCATTTTAAACTGTAGGTTCAATGACGCTGGCTGTTTAACAGTTTCTCACAGCTAATCTTTTCCTACAGCGCGGAGTCCAGTCTTCTCCCACCTGTCCTTGTCTCTTCAGGGTCTTTCCACCATCAGAGCCCTCAAGGCTGAGGAGAGGTTAAAGAAGGCATTTGATGCCCATCAGGACCTGCATTCAGGTTTACTCTTTATGAACTATTTATGGATGGTTAAAACTAAGATTTTTTAGCTGATTTTAAAGGAATTTCAAGCGATAAAGAAAACTACTCATAGTTCCAAGTAGAACTGGAATTCTGGATAATTTGCTCTCAGTCTGTCAATGAATACCTTCTGGGAGCATATTTGTAAAGGCATTTTCCCCTCTTAAGAAAGGTTATCACAGGTCAATTCAAAGTTGATCATTTGCTTAACTATCTCTCCTAAGAGGCCTTGGGAAGATAAGCTATGCGTCTCCAGCTGAAAAAAAGTTAAAAATGTTGTAAATCAGTAATGATAGCGAAGAAGCCTGGAAGACTTTAATTCAGTTTCATTTATATGACAACAGTCACCTCAAGGCGCTTTATATTGTACAAATCGCTTTATAATAAATTACATGTGTGAGATATTTGGGTCTCATGAAATGTCTTGTAAAGTGAACCTGCTCAAAAGATTAACCTGGTCATCTTCTTTATAATGAAATGCATTTTTTCGTCTCGTTGCAGAGGCGTGGTTTTTGTTCCTGATGACCTCCCGCTGGTTTGCACTACGCCTTGACAGCATTTGCTCCATATTCATCACTCTCACAGCATTTGGCTGCATCTTACTCAGACATGGTGAGGAACTAAAGCACCATGCAGACAAACTGTCTCACAACAGGTGCCTTATATTGTAAGGTAAAGAGTCTGTAACGATACAAAGAAAACCCCAACCATCAGAGGACCCTCTTAGAGCAAGCACTTGGCGACAGTGGGAAGGAAAAAAATCCTTGATTTATTTTATTACAGCGATTATGTATGCTGTAGGTATTAAAGGTACTGTACAATGTTTTGAATATCAATCTATCAGACTCTAATTTGTACATGTAAATAGAGAGTCCTCTTAACACACTAAGGTTAGTTATAGAGTTCCACAGGGTTCGGTGCTAGGACCAATTCTGTTTATATTATACATGCTTCCCTTAGGCAGTATCATCAGAAAACATAGCATACATTTTCACTTCTATGCAGATGACACCCAGCTTTATATATCTATTAAGCCAGATAACACACACCAATTTGTTAAAATACAGGAATGTCTTAAAGACATAAAGACTTGGATAACGTCTACTTTTCTGCTTCTAAATTCAGATAAAACTGAGGTTATTGTACTCACCTATAAAAATCTAACCCTCCAGTAACACTGTGAGGAATCTTGGAGTCATTTTTGACCAGGATATATCATTCAGTGCATATATGGTTAACAAACGTGTTGGACTTCCATTTGCGGAATCTGGTTCAAATTAAAAACATCCCGTTTAAGTGATGCTGAAAAACTTACTTCTAGGCTGGACTATAATTCCTTATTACCAGGATCTCCTAAAAATGTCCTAAAAAACCTTGAGATGGTCCGCAATGCTGCAGCAAAGATACTGACAGGGACCAGACCAAGAGAGCACATTTCACCGACACTGGTTTTTCCTCATTGCATCCCTGTTAAATCCGGAATCGAATTTAACATACAAGGTCTGGAATAATCAGGCCCCATCTCATCTTAAAGACCTAATAGTACCCTATCAACCCATTAGAGCACTTCGCTCTCAGACTGCAAGCTTGTTTGTGGTTCCTAGAGTATTTAAAAGTAGAATGGGGGGCCGAGCCTTCAGTATTCAGGCCCCTCTTTTGTGGAGTTTGTATTCAGGACAGGGCTCTAGACTAACTTTTTGCCATGGGC